GCCCTTTGACTTTTCCAAACCTTTGCCCTGCTTGGCTCCCATGGTTTCTCTCCTTTTCCTCTCACTGGCTCTTCCTTTCCCCTCGTTTTTCTTCTATTTCCTCTCATGCTCACCAGGCCTCGGGCCCCTGCTCCCTGCCATTGTCCCTCTGAAATCTCCTTTGTTGATGTGTTTTTTCTGATTTTTGTAGATGTCTGTCTCACTTCTCCCTGGCTCTAGTCCCAGCCTCTTTCCAAGGTCTGGTTCCACATCCTGTCGCCATCTTCAAATTAACTTCTTAGACACTTGTGTAACAATTCATTTTTTCTCATCCTCTAGTTCATCATAAACAACAATAATAACCAAAAACCCAACCCTCTTAAAGTTCTAGCTGCCTCTAGGTTCATGGAACATCTTCCCAATGTCCTGGGCTTAGTTTCCTAGAATGGGTTTGAGTCCTTTCTACCTTATGTCCTCTGCCATCAAATCCATCACCAAGCCTTGGGTTGGTGTGTGGACCTGATCTTATTCAGGGTTTTCTTTCAGCACTTGAGATTATTGTGGTTAGAATCCGGTTAGATCTCGTGTCCCAAGATTTTAAACGTCTGGCCATTCTTCCCTACACTATTATGTGGCTCATCTTAGTGAGTCGCCATTCTGATCATTATAGAGCTTGGACCTACACAGCCCGCTAACCTGCCTGCTAGAATTCCAAGTCTTGCTTCAGCCTACTCTTTTCCATTCAGAAATTCCAGGTATTCCCCAGTCATTTCCTGTGTATAGACAATGCGCTCAGCTAGGAGAGCATGATGCTGATGATTTAATTCTTAAAGTAGTAGGCACCAAAAATGGACTGCATCAGACATAGCTGGGAAACCCAGCTTAGTGCTTAGTTTGCCCTGGAGCAGAAGGGTGGGGGTGGGGGGAGTGCAGACCCTCACTGAGTACCATTCTGAGGGGAGTTCAGCATGGAGACTGAGGCCTTTGCAGAATGACCTGTGCCGCAATGCCTGCCGTGTGTCAGGACTTTGCTATGCGTTTATGTGTATTCCCTGATTTAATCTTTGTAACAACATCCCTAAGGGAGGTACTCCTATTATAAATAAATACATTGTGTTTTCATTGGTGACTGGAAAGTTAGAGACATACTTGTTATCCACGCAGTCATTAGCTGAATTGTCTTGTCCCTATAAATGGGTTGCTCCTTTCAGCCTTGAGCTTGAAGAGATTTGTTATACCTTTATCCTGGGATCTGTCAGTCCTCTAAGTCTACTCAGAAATGGTGGGAGGAGAAAATTCTGAATGTAGTTGTCCCACTTTGTCCAGAGAATTATTGGTTCCAGGACACTCCCCACCACCATCCCACTCCATGGGTACCAAAACCAAGGAACATTTTTTTTTTTCCTTCACGATTTGATGTTTTTGTTTATTTCCTCTTGATTGGCCCTCATACAGGCAGTCCTCCGATTACAAATGGTTCCATTCCTAAAGCTCTAAGTCAAAGTTGTACATAAATAAGAACAATTAGGTTTGTGTCCAGCAAGCAGTGTGTGCCTAACATCAGTCAGTCAAATGCATGTCTTTT